GTTTTTTCCAGTTGTATTCCTTACGCAGCATAAGGTACGCGTTATAAAGTATTCGACAGATCGCAGAAAAACTGATTATTTGGATGGGGGTACTCGTTTGTTTGTTTCACAACAAAACCTGCGATATGACCACTTTCGCTTTCAAAGGTTGCCTTCTTCGATACCTTCCATCTTATCAACACGATTGTTTTTTCCTATTTTCAAGAGTTTTTTGCTTGTTTGCTGTGCTTTGAGTGCCAGTGCTCAAATCACTCCACAGGGGGGATGGGCCTTTTGCCAAGTTAGGTGTAGTACCTACTGGATTTCACAGTTTCGTAGTTATAGGGAAAAATCGTATGAGATTCATTAATTAATGGAAATCTGCACATTATTGATTGAATGTATATCGTATTCTGGCCCTATTTTCCTGAGTAAACGTTGTAATCATTATATTTCCGACTTCCAACTCAAACCAGGACGATCGTTCATGTTTTAGAGGCTCGCAGCGTCCTTGGCCTAGACCAGATGGGATTGTTCCCTCAGCCTCATATTTCGCTGCCTGTCTGGGAAATCTTCATGTTTCTTATATCCATGGATTTTGTAAAGCCTTTGGCTTAAATTATAACCAAACTTGGCCGTTTTCCCAGAGATGAAGCTGCTTTTCTGAGGAGCGCATCATTTTTTCAGTTACCAGTAAAGTCAAGTAAAGTGCAACTTGCTAACTGTGCTACTTTCACTGCTGTAAACGTGGTTACTGATTAAAATCAGCCTGTAAGTGAGAAGCACCGTAAATTCTGATGGCGCTGTTCGACACCATATCTGAAAAACATCCTTCAATATGTTTACTGTTTTTCTAATGGTAAAGGACCCCCATATCGCATGAAGGGTGTGATGCGTTAGGAACGAAGTGGTCGCGTCGCGGTGAGAGGAGCGTCGCGCGCGAAGGAATGTAGCAGGTCAGCAGGTAAAAAATACAAGAGCAAAAGTACTAATAGTAGAATTATGCATAAAATAATGATCGCATATCGATTGAGCTGTATGAAGAACGCTAGAGCTGTAATAACGGCAAATGAGTGGTCCACGACAGCCGCGTGCGGCGAATCGATTACCCACAATCGTTCCTAACGCCCGTCTCCCCCATATCGCTAGTTGCCGCCGACAGTCGTTCGGAGAAGAGAGTATAGGTGTCGTTATACGTCACCTCGCCGGGACTCGATCGTCTAGCTCACAGGTGATCGTGTCAGGACCCCACACCTTTGAACGCCAAGGTTGGCATTATGTCGAGCGGACCCGTGGACGAGGTGATTCAAATTCGGTGAAGTAACCACAACAATGCGCCCAGTGGCCCTTCATCTGTGCTGTTTGGCCCAACCCTTCATTCGATTAGACCTAAAGACCCGTAAAAGGGACCCTCTCAATTTGCGATAACGTTCTTTCCGATATGTACATATTTTGCGTATGCCGTTTTCTGTTGTTATTTTGTTCTACTTTATGAAAACCGTACTTTTCGCTTTTACAGTTCACAAGTCACGTAATGGCGCAAGACATCGACGTCTCCAGT